AGCTGCGTTCGTCAAAGGACACGTGTCCCGGACGAGCGTAGTGCTGGCGCTTATAAATTGTTTTGTTTCTTGATTGTCATTTTTCAACATCGAAGGAGGGCAACAAAGAAAGGAAGGGTGAAAATTTAGCTGCTTTTCAAGCATTTTGTGACGGTCACAGCCTACTCGTGTGCATGATGTGTGTTTCCCTTTCGCCGTCGACTAGTCTTGGTGAGGCACTGCTGTAGCCCGAAATGCAACGAACTTATTTTACAAAACTCTTGTGGGNGAAAATTTAGCTGCTTTTCAAGCATTTTGTGACGGTCACAGCCTACTCGTGTGCATGATGTGTGTTTCCCTTTCGCCGTCGACTAGTCTTGGTGAGGCACTGCTGTAGCCCGAAATGCAACGAACTTATTTTACAAAACTCTTGTGGGCTTGACCAGGGTGAAACCGCACGTGTCGCGGGAAAGAAAGTCTGCCCAGGCCTACACTAGAACTTCACATAACAGCAGTGTCGATCCATTTCGTACTACAGTACTGACTTGGCGCCGCAAGCGTGAGCGCTACACCATAAATCGCACACGGTCTCATTAGTGCCAGGCCGGCACTAATGAGGGATTGGCTAGCCCTCAATAGTGCCGTTTTGGCATTACAGTATTCGCAAAAATAGTGCCGGGTGCCCGGTTTAGTGCCGGTGAAATCTCTCGACACATACCGGCACTATAAAGGTCCCTCGACCGTACTTGTTGTTGTTGTTGTTGTCTTCACATGAAACCGTTTGTTTTTTTTTTCTCCCATCATTGGAGTCTGTTGTCTGCCCCTCTGGCCCCTATCCTCCACTTCTACTAGCTAGACGACCCAACCGGGGTCACATAGGAGGGGGGGGTTGGACCCCCTCGTGCGGTTCCTGCCTGATGTATTTTTATCGCGAGAAGGGTACATACAGCAATCCCTTCCCTCGCGACTTACGAAGTCGATTATGGTTTACTAACAACGAGCTTTGCAGCGCGTCGCCTTCATCCTAGACCAGGATTTATTTAGTGAGGAAAAAACTCTCTCTGCCGGGACTCGAACCCATGACCTGGCCCTTAGCAGGCTGCGAGGCTACCCACTATGTCAGTTGCTAAATGACAAAATCTAGCAAAGACTCTCAGCCCGTGGTCAACGAAAGTGCTAGAGCCATCTGAGGATCTATCTAAAGAACACGCACACACAAAGTCTAATAACGAGAACAAGGTATTCAAGAGCCCGAAGAGGTACACCTAAAAATCCCTGCAGCACCGTATGCGTGCCCAAAAACTGAACTGCACGTCCGTCCCACCGTTCGACTACAGTAGNNTGCTGTCTGAAGTGCTGTCTGTACAAAAACACCATGGTAGGCATGGAACAAGAAGCTGGCGGGGCACAAAGCTGCTGTCTGAAGTGCTGTCAGAATGTGTCTGCGGCCGTACAGCTAGTGAAAAAGAACAACCCGACCAAACAAAGCCATCATAGTAGCAGCAATTGACAATCACCCGAATCTCTCCCGATCGTCTGTATTAGGCACTGCAGTGAAAAATATCGACACTAGCTAAGAATCGTTCCACATTGAAGGGGTCTTCCACGATCAGGCACAAAACCAATGCACCCGGGTTAGCCACGCCATCTCAGACGGGTCTCTCTACAAAACCGGTGACGATGTCATCACACAAAACCAACCAGGAAAGTCAGAAAAAAAAACGAAAAAATTGACAACACAAATGTTTGTCCGTGCGCCACGGGTCGATGTCGCCCGCATGCTCCGGTGCCATTGCTCCATCCGGCGCCGCTGTAGTCAGCCCGAGCAAAACGCCACTCGACCTGCTCCGTCCGTACACGCTCTCGTTGCTGTCCTTCCCAGTCCGTTCCTCGCTTTCTCCCTCATTGCACTCAAGGTTCTTGGTCTGAAAAAAATAAAAATTCTCGCGCCGAATGGTCAACCAGCCTAGTTCAGCTCGTCGCCACCTGCTCCCTCCTCCTTTGATGGCGAAGCCAGGTTACTGAGGCAATACAGCTCCCTCTAGCCAATCTAGGGCCGTGTAGTGCCCGTCCACCTTTCTGATGGTGTCTGCCTCCGCGCACAAAAATGAGATGGGCATCACTGCCTACGCCGACGGCCAGAAAGGCCCGCCAATCTACATTTTCCCGCCTGACCCCATCAGTGCCGACCCAACTCCACCACCACACGCACGCCTCGCGGCGGATGCGCAGCAGCAAGAAGGTTTCGGTCATCCCTTGAGGGTGAGTCTAGCCCTGCTCGCCAGAAAGACCCCCCCCTTCACTACAACCCATGTCTAAGCAAAAGCTTGTCGAGGAGCGAGGGGAAGAAGGGAGAGTACTGCAATACTTTAGTAGCGCGGGTCCGGCATGGTGCTGGTGAATTTTCTGGGCACATCCTGGCACTAAACAGGGACCTCTACGGAGTATTGTACTCAAACCCCTTTACATGTACCCAGAGGTTCTTAGTTGATTTCCGGCACCGCAATGCCAACAAGGGCGGCACCTACATGTCTTCACTCCGCATACCTCCACACACGCAAGCACGTAATTGGAGCTGCTGTGGTAAGGGCCTTGTCAAGCTGCCAGGAAGGGCGTGTGACGTCATCAGACCACCGTTCCAAAGAAAGAGCCGTGTACACGTGCACAGAAATTTCTGGAGATGGGGTCATTTTCTCCGCAGGCGGCATGTTCTTACGATTTCCCTGGCACGTTACTCTGCCGGTCCACCTGCCTCTGTCAACCCTCTTCATGCATCTGGAGAGCCTGTCTACTTAATAGGATGGCCGCTTCGCATCTCAGCTCGAGCGAACAGGATGGTTTGCTGGCGGCTGCTCAGGCCTGCGCCACGTTCTCCCTGCTGGGCTCCCTCTTCATCATTTTTTGCTACGCCAGATATAGACACCTGCGGAAGCTGAGCTTCACCTTGGTCCTCTTCCTCGCGATCAGCGATGTCGGTGAGCCGTGGGATTGTAGGGGCCAGCTGCTCCACCGCGCCCCAAGGCCTGGCTGTTTGCGTTGTACGCAATTGGCATGGCCTGCCGCACGCGCTCATACCGTCTCAGACTGCCTGCCTCCAATGATTTGGACAACTCTTGTTCCTATTGCTTCACCTGCCTGTTGCCTGTTCCGTGTAGTCTAGCCCGCGAAAAATGGCATGGCCGTCTCCACCTTTGAAGCCTTCGACAAGGGGGGTGCCAGAGTACGCGGGGAGCGCCATAGATCGTCTAGTGCGGATGTTAGACATAGGGAGTAGGAGGGTAGTCTCAGGAGAGCCGCGGGACGATACCGCAGGATCAACGGCGAAGTTGCGCCGCGTCCTATCTGTGCTTGGGTGGACCTGTGTATGCATGCTACACAGCACGACTACTGGGTACCTCAAGGGGGACGCGGAAGGAGCACCCCATCCACCGATGGGAGCCACTGGACAAACTACAGAGCTTGGGCCTCGATGCCTCGCTTTCTCCGAGGGATGTCTTGAAAACCTCCTTTTGTGCCCCGCTTACAAGGCTGGTGCCAGATGTTGTCTACTGCTGTCCACCTACTACTTGTACAGCAGAAGGATAGGCTAATATTCTGGTACATACATATACCGGTCGCCCCGGTGGTCTAGTGGGTAGCCTCGCAGCCTGCTAAGGGCCAGGTCATGGGTTCGAGTCCCGGCAGAGAGAGTTTTTTTCTCACTACATAAATCCTGGTCTAGGATGAAAGCGACGCGCTGCAAAGCTCGTTTGTTAGTAAACCATAATCGACTTCGTAAGTCGCGAGGGAAGGGATTGCTGTACCCTTCTCGCGATAAAAATACCTCAGGCATGAACCGCAGGAGGGGGTCCAACCCCCCCCTCCTATGTGACCCCGGTTGGGTCGTCTAGCTAGTAGAAGTGGAGGATAGGGGCCAGAGGGGCAGACGACAGAGTCCAATGATGGGAGAAAAAAAATAAAAAAAAAAATATATATATATATATGTAGACATAGTCTTATGTAGTCTTGCATGGCTTTTGGACACGAGACGGCTCAGGTGGGGAGAGGTTGCTTCCCCCCTGCAAACATACCTGGTTTAGGAAACATACGCATGTTCGTTGTGGACAAGGAGCAGCGAGATTGATACTTTTCACACACGGGCAACCGGCGAATTGATCTTGACGCATGTATCGTACCTTGCCATCTTGGTTTATTGTAGTTTTGCTGAAAGCTACGACGGCGATAACAGGCAACGTGTCGCCTGTAACATGTGTTTGTCTACGGATAGGGAAGGCTTTGCTGTTTGTTTACGGCCCGATTCAAAATGTATTTGGTCTCTGAAAATATTACGTGTCATGAGGCCATGAACGCCCAAAAATAGAGCGGCAGGACAACGACGATGTTGTACGTCATGCTTCTGCAGCATCAACATGAACGCACAGAACGGCAGCATAGCATGGATATGAATGGACGCGCTGGAAAATGTACAAACAACGTCCACGCGGTTTCTCTGCGTTGGTCGATCCGCCCTCCAACAACACATTCATACGGCAACCTCTGCAGACTTTTCAACTTACGCCCAATTCGTGTCTGGGCCCTTGCCGTGCATTCATGTCCGCACATTGTCAGTTCCCACAACCGGAGACGTCTTATAGCGGCAATATCGCGCACGCCTTCCACCCAACTACTATTGTGGCAGACTGCTCCCGCCTCCACCACGTGATGGGTATGGTGATGCTACCTCGACCATGTGCCCCCAGCACTGATTATATTTTCTCTCGTCTTGCTGCGGTTGTTCTCGGATGCTACTGCTGCAGGCGCCGACATCACATATTTCATGGGCAACCCCGAGGACAACAGGGCGACCTGCGTGGCCCAGGGGGCCCTCCAGCAATTTTTCCAGGTGTGCGTGTGCGTCCGTCGTTTGTATGCTGTTGAGGTATGCTTTGAAATCCGTATCAACGGCGATGAGCGGCCGACTACATGAATGTCGGGGTGGACACGATGAAGGTAATTGGACGCTCTGGTCTGCGGGCTTCGGGCCAGTTACGTGTGTATCGGTTTGAGGTGTTTAGTTGACTAGAGTTGACCGTGCCAACCGGCGGGCAGATGCACAACCGTTCATCTGTTGTACGCGCAAGTTTGAACAATAAAAAACAAATGTAGCTCGCGATAGAGCGGGGTTCTATTTGCAAGCACCGACCGCAATAGACGGCTGACCAACCTATATTGACCCCGCGTGTGTTGTGTGTGTGCCATGTTTAGGGAAGTTCACAAACATCGGGTATTACCGGTGAGTTTACAGCAAAGAGGAACACTTTTTTATCAGTGCAGCACAGCGCCTACAGGTCAAGACAACTCTAAATCACCTTCTATGAATACCATGGACGCGGCACCACTCCTTGCGATCCTCGCCCTCTATCCCAAGTCGCCCCCCCGCCCCCCCAACTCTCCATGTATCTTTCCAGATGGCTCAAATTCTGTGGGCAGTGGCGATAGCCTGTGTGCTGCGCGACGTGACGGTGAACCTGCGCATGTACCACCCACACGAGCAAAGCGCCCTCATGCGCCGCTTCCACGTCGCCGTGTGGGGCTCCGCCCTCTTGAGCACGCTGCTCCCGTTCACCACCGACAGCTACGGCTCTACAGGGTCGTGGTGCTGGATCGAGACGAACCCGGGGTCGGATGTCGACGTTGGCACGATGTGGAGATACCTCGTGCTGTACTGTCCTCTTTGGGCGGGTGAGTCGGTGTGGTCGCGGCAGAGCCCGTGTGGGGAGAGGCGGCAGAAGGAAGGATGGCGATGAGGCATTCGACTGCGGGCGAAGGGGGGAAGAGCGGACGGCAGGTCAAGCTCGCTGACTGATGAGAGTAGGAACGAGGGGGAGATCCGTTAATAAGAGAAAATGGGGCATGGACCAAACGATTGGACGGTTGAGCTGCTCGTCAGTCTTGTGTGGCCTCCAAAGTGGAACAGCAGTTTTCACGCTGGTGTTGACCCCAGGCTGACCCTGACTGCACAAGTCGCCCTTTTTGGGCAGCTCAGAAAAACTTGAAGCACCTTTTACACGTTTGGCTTTCACCACCCTCATCGTAGCCTCGTTTCGTATTTGTTCCTGCCACTGATCACAACCGATATTTCCCGTCTGTACCTTGGGGAATGCAGACGCCAGTCTCTCTCACCACACCCCGTTCCGCCCCACCCCGCCCCCCCGTCCTTCTTTGGTCGTTTGTACCCCTCAATCCTCTTGTCGGATCCCGTTCTACGCGGTTTCCTGTTTCAATCTGCCTCGGACCTTGCCGTTCTTTTGCGATGGGTGAAAATGGGGCGTCGATGCTCGCAGCTATTGTGTTCAACATTGTGGTCTACGTACGGATCTTCAGCGTTGTTCGAAGGTGCCTCAGCAGCAGTAGCAGCAGCGGCAGCAGAGTCTGATGTACACATCCTTCTGTATTGTAGTGTGCAATTGTAGCTTCTTTTGAACAGTGTAGCAATGTGTCTTGTTTCGTGCTCTACGACCTCCGCCACTTCATTGAATACAGGCTACAGCATTCTGGCGATAGACGGGTGCGAGCAACAACAACAACGCGAACAACTGCAAAACCTGTCACGGCAACATGTCATGTTCGAGACCGTTTCAATCCTACACAGCTCGCCTCCTATTGTGATTGACGCCGGACACTTCAACCGGATACCTGCCAAGCGCCGTCCGTTGCGTCGAATATGTGACCATCGTCGAGACGAGAAAGGATAAGGCGAACTTGATCAACATAGAGCGGCCGTATTGAGAGTTTTTTCGCCCCCTTCGTGTTGTACCGTATACTTCCACATGCCGGCGTTCAACTTAGTACCAATCTTGTGTGGCACCGGGTCGGATTTCCGGTTGGTGGATGTCCGATACCCAAGATGAATCAGAAAACGTTCCTCGACATCACGTGTACGTTGGAATTTTATCATCAATCACTTAACAGGTTCTCGACGGAGATTTCCGGTGGCGCCTCCGCCGTGGGGCCGTCGGCGGAGCAGCAAATGAGAATGACCAAGTTTTCGAAGCGACTGGTTTGGTACCCGGCGGTACTCATCGCCTCCTGGACGTTCGCGACCATCAACCGCATCCAGAACGCCATAGACCCGGACCACCCCATCTCCGGGCTATTTCTGCTGCACGTGAGAGGATTAGGGAAATGCCGAAAGGCGAGGAGCCACGTGGCCTGGGCGTTGGACGAAGAAGAGTTGTTGACTATGATAGCACGGTTCTGCGATTGTCGGCAAAAAAGTAGTCTGACCATGTTTATCGGACGGTGGCCGAATTCTGTTTTGAAAACGTTTTGGGCGAAAGCAGTCATAAGCGGTGCTTGGATGGCTTGGCTTTGCAGGCGAGGTTCGGGTGTGCACATATCTGGGCACAATGAGCCACGAGGAGAGGCGCAAATAGCCAAGCCAATGGGTCAAGGGGACTGCCGGAATCCGTTTCGGTGGGGGCGACGGCCTCCGAATTGTTCATCAGGACGGAAACACGCGCAAGAAACCAACAGTTCTGTCATAGGAAACGCGTCGAAAAGAGCGGGAGCCCCTGCTCTGTAAAGGGTCCTATGGAGAGATCAGCAATCAAACATAACAAAAGACACAAGTCCAACGCGCGACAGTTGTACGCCGCCTTTGCCCATGTGTACCTCCGGTATTTTGTTTTTTGTCGGTCGTGCCTCACCTCGTCTCGTCCCGCAGACGAGCCTTGTAGCGTTTCAGGGTTTCTTCAACGCCCTGGTGTACGGCTCGACCGACGCCGTCAAGGCTTCGGTCGTGCAAGAGCTCCTCGTGGAACGGTGCCTAAAGGCCAGCGGGGCCTGCCGGGGCGGCAGGGGAGAGTCGGGGCAAAGAGACAACAATGGTCTCGACCCGGAGGATGCTGAAGACAGCTCTATGGGCATGGGGACGACGGGAAATGGGTGAGAGAAAGTCAGCTTTAGCGTAGATAGAAGGATGTCCTTCTTCGCCTGTGGAGCTGTGGTAACATGTGATGCTACCGTACGTGTATTCTATTTTGAGACCTTTGTCGTTGTGAGGCGTTCGGGTTCCCGATGTCTCGGTGGGGCAGCTCAAGCTTTTAGCGAAGATGCCCCGCCATTTTGACCCGGTACCGGCCAAGCTTCTGTCTCGAAAGCCTTTGCACTTATGCATCGTTTGTCTCGTGTGTGGAACCCGGGAGCGCTGTCAGTTCCTGACCCGCCCACGCACGCGAGCGTTTGGCCCCGCTTGGGACGACGAACTGTGCCTACGCCTGCGATGTCACAGGCTTTGGGGGTAGAGGAAGCGATCAGCCCTAGACGTAGCTAGCTTCATCCAACCTTGGTGTCGTGTAATGGCGTGTCTCAGTGTCACAGCGCCCCTGCGTGGTGTTGTGTCGGACCTCCCCGTCCGCTCGCTTCGTGCAGATTTGTTCTAACGCTTGTCGCTGCCCCGCTCAATCCCCAATGAAGAAGGTACAATGATGAGTCTCTCGGCGGCTTTGGGGACGTCGAGATGGACGCCACAGGCGATCACCGGGGTAGTGCTAGCGGGGCGCGTGTGAGCGGAGTTGATGTGACCGGCATATCGAACGATCTCAAGCCCAATGACGACGAGTCGGTCGAGGTATATAGCAGTACCTCCAAACAGGGCTGGTCAGCAGGGGAGAGATGAGATCCGAGCTTGTGTTGCGCAGCGACGACAGCCGTGCCTTTTAGCCATCGACATGAGTGATTGTACACCACGGTATTTGTTTTCTACATGTCCATCTGGTAAATGACGACACATTATGGGCAGAAATTGCGTCGACGTAGTGAGCCTACGCAAGCCCAACGGCTGTGTATTGGAGACTGCGTTTTGGGTTTTTGTATGATACGGTTGGGCTAACCTGCTCTTGGCAGCGAAACCAAATTTCTATGTTCAAGCACGCGCCCGTTTTCTCAGGTTGGATTTTACACGGTGTTCATGGGACAAAAGCGGTGCGAATGCCGCGACCGATGTAGAGTGCGATGAAGCCAGCCTACTTCTTAACTTGTATTTTTCTCTTCGATGAGGTGGTGTGGGGATAAGGGAGGCGCGGCGGGGGCCCGAATGTAGCAGAGAATCAGGGAAACGGCCATTCAACAAGGGTGTCGTAGGAATAGCAAGTACAATCCCACCTGGGACACGTAGACCTTGGCACACAGGAACATGGCAGTGGAGTCCCTCTAGAACGAGTTCAGGCAGTGCTCCTACTTCAATGCATTCCACAGGATACTGCGTTACGGATTCATTGTGAACGGAGTCGAACGGAGGCATTTTTTGCCCGGAAGAAAACAGAAGTATACTGTAGAGAAAAATGAACCTGGCTACCCTGGCGGATGTTAGCTTAAAGTACACATTTCGATTTGAGCAGACATTTGTTTCTCCCCTAGCGAGGTGAAAGTTTGTGAAGGTGTGTGTCATCAACGGTCAGCAGGGATCCCATGCGTGATTACAAAGGGCGATTCCTGGGCACATGCAGACCGCCCACGATCATCAACAAGAAAGAACTGGGTGATGCTACTTCGTACTATTTGACGACACCGCGCGAAATGTTTCAAAACCACATCCTCTTTGCCCCTATATGGCTCTCAGCTGTCGCGCAAGCCCTCGTTCGTACTAGTTTCAGGTAGTCACCGAGATACGCCGCCGCAGCACCAACTCGGCGGTGTCGTAAATAAGCCCGCCCTCATTTACGACACCGCGAGAAACGGTCCGAGAACACGTCCAATGGGCAAAAGCAATTGCTGTGTTCCCACGGCTCCCGGCTGTCGTGCAAGTCCGCATTTGGCCGAAACCAGCATACGGTTGCCGCTTACTTGTAGGCCTGCATGTTACCTTTCTGAAGACGCCCGACCGAGGGCACAGGGTGGATCTGCTACAAGATCCACACAAAAGACTTCATGTATCTCCATAGCTGCATACAAACGAATGGGAAACCTGGCTACGTTGGAAAGCATTTCGTCAGCACCTTGGCCAGCGCACAGCACATACGCGTTGTGGAACGGCCCGGACTACACCAAGACGTAAAGCGTACATGTCGGTGTCGGGAGGAGTGGGGGGCGTAAGCGAGGTACCCCCTTGTTCGTGCACCAACGTCAGCAAGAGCGTGCGGGTCGGAAACTCCTTCGGACAGTGGACAGCTTTCGGAGAGGGGCTGGAAGCGAAGCGGTTGACAGATGGTATTTTCCTCCCCTGTCACAGTTGGTGTATCGTAGGAAATGCCTCCAATACCACCGAATCGGCTGCGAATTGCATGGACGGAAGGGAGTGAAAAAAGGCAGGCCCATTTCCATGTTTTCATGGAGTCCCAATCTTATACCTTCATGGTACAATACTTCCGTGAAATGTCCCGTTGGTTTCGCAGAAATTTCACTTCCACTTCTTCACCAGTGTCGTGATACTGAGGTGCTAAAACGGCAGAGTTTTGACAGTGCAACAAATATTGGGCAATGACGCCCTGCGACGATATGCTTTTGATTCGATCAAACCAGCGAGGTATACGCGTCTGAATCAGGACTCCGCTTCACACCGGGATTTTGGGCACAAACAGCGCTCGATATGAATGTCTTGGACTAGAATGAAGCAGTGAGGTTTTCACGTAGGTTACATGTTTCTACATTCAAAGGAATCATGACTCGGCTTCAAGCGGAGACTTTGGGCACAGAGAGAGCCCTCGAAATGAATATCATTGTTGGTTGTACTCAGTACCACTGTTGATGCGGATACACGGAGATGTTAGGGTTTTGTGTATCACTTTGTCGGTATGTGTTGTGGAGAGGGACGGTCCCCCTTCTACCTGCATGGCAGGCTTGCCCTGTTCACTCGGCAAACTCGGCAAAATCAAAGGTCTTGAGTCGACCTTTCCTCCACAGCCTTTGGCGCTAGGCACCCGCTACCCAACAAGAATGAAGGAGTGAGTTTCTCACGAGAGATATGTTTTTCCAAGGAGTCAGGACTCGGCTTCACAAGGGGACTTCGGGCACAGACAGCCCTCGACATGAATGTCATGGACAGGAATGGCGGAGAAACGTTCTCACATAGGGATTGCATTTTTCTACGGAGTCATGACTCGGCTTCACATGGGAACTTCGGGCACAAGCAGCCCCCGAAATGAATGTCATGGGCAGTAAGGAAGGAGTGAAGTTCTCACATTCGGCTACATCATTCAATAGAGTCATGACTCGGCTTCACATGGAGACTTCGGGCACAGACAGCCCTCTATATGAATGTTATGGACAAGAATAAAGGAGTGCGGTTCTCACGTAGGGTTTCATTTTTCAAACGAGTCATGACTCGGCTTCGCGCTGGGAGTTCGGGCACAGACAGCCCTCGATGTGGATTGCCACGCGCAAGAATGAAAGGAGGAGCGAAGTTCTCACGTAGGGTTACATTTTTCAAAGGAGTCATCACTCGGCTCCAAACCGGGATTTCGGGCACAGATAGTCCTTGATGTGAGTTGTTGTGGACAAGAATGAAAATGCGGTCACGAAAAGGTCCAACAGTCATACTACAGCATGTTTTGAAGGAGTGGAAACTCGGTTCAACACAGGAACTTCAGACAGCGAATGGCCTGCCTATGAATGTCCTGTTGCGGCCTACGCCACTTATTTATCGAGTGAGACTGCTGTTCCGGTGATGTATTAGCTTCACGAGAGGTCGACGACCGTCCTTCACACGGACGAAAGGGGGAGTGCCTCACATGGCAGCTCCCACACCAAGGAGGGGGGCCGTGAATCGTCGCGGTGTCCCCTACCAAGCGGCAATCTTACCAATTTGCGTGACACCAAATCATACAGCACATGTATCCAACACCAATGTTCGCAGACCCGCGAACATGTCCTTGACAAGGAACATTGTGAAGACTGGTGTTGTATTTTGCTCTTTGACGAGGTGGTGCGGGCATAGGGGAGGAGCGGCCGGGGTCCGAACGCAGCAGAGAATGAGGTAAACGGCCATCCAACAAGGGTGTCGCAGGAATCGCTAGTACATTGCCACCGAAATGTGCAGATCCTAGCGTGCAATGAAGTGTGCAGTTGTCTTTTGCGTGCTTGGCTTCATGGCGGTGTCCTAGCCGTGTGTTTTCCAAGAGTTGGGGAGAGTGCCCAGATGTTGGCGTTCTTTGAAATAGAGTACAAAACACTTGCTGCCGGGTAATGTAGGTGCTTCTGCCTGTCGACTACCAGGTAGCCGATGACATGCAAAATCGCCTTCGACCCGACATCGGCGACGAAAATAAATCACTGTGTGCAATCTTCTTGCTGTATCACGGCCACCTACATCAGTCGCCGCGACTTCACTGCCGTGATTGCTGTCCACTGACTCTGTCCATCTCCACACTTTCATGGCATCACCTACGATCCTCTCTTCACACAACTTCTTCCCAGATCCTCAGTCCTCACCAATACCACCCCGACTCTTGTCCACAGTCCACACCCACCACGTGACACGCAGTAACCCGTGTTCCACACTTCGAATCCTCATTTTCCGAAGGTGTACAGTAGTACTCCCCCCTACGTTCGACATTGGTACGCCAGTTTTCAGTGAATCATCTCTCCATAAAACACAAACCGCCCAAAGAAAGCTTAATGCCTCGTCCTTGATGAAGACAAGAACATAGCAGAAATGCTACACAGCGGGGTTCAGAAATGAAATTGCACCTTCAAACCGCAGTGTGAATATTTTCAGATCTGCACGATGTCATCCTGTTCGTTTCCGAGAGACATACATCGTCGATAGCGATAACAGAAAATAAACGTGGCTGAATTCTAGAGAATGTCAGCCAGTGTGAAGCTAGGAAAACGCTGTTCATTCGCTTCTCTCCTTTGCGCGCCCCCTAGACTATAGTCTACTCTTCGGCGGAGGAGCTTTGAGAGTGAAAACTGCAGGCACCGTCAGTGCTGACTGACTGAAGCAACGCGAGCACATCTGCGTGGTTGCACTCGAAACTGTAACCAAACGGACAAGCTGGATCGTACGCAAAACCTCTCCATTATGCTCGTCCGCAAAATATATGCCACGACAACATATCATGAAACATCCTCTGGGTCCACTCAAGAGTCCTTTCATACCTTCTTCACCGCCGCCTATATGCCACACATAATCAACAACCACGAACAGCGTGTATCGACACCACATCTGCACAGGCCTCGTCTAACAGTACCTCAAACAAAATCAGAGTTACAACCTGGTCCTCCGCTGTCGGTACGAACTGAACGTAGACTATCACGTGTCACACTGTCGCACTGGGGGGCTGCCAACACCCTATTGAAGGTAGGCAGAACTAACGTTGGGAGGTGGAGCCACCCGTGCGTGACACTGCCGCCACCGCAGCCGCGGCCGCTGAAGTCGCTGCCGTCGCCTGAAGTACGATGGGTAGCGGCGAGCGTAGGCGAAACGATGGGGAACAACGTGAACCCAAACCAAGGGAGGGAAACGGGAGGACTCACGGCGGGGGTCGCGTGTCTTTGCAATTTGGCGCGAGACAACAACGAGCCACATGAAAGCTAGGGTTGAGAGTTTTATCGTGGCAGCCACAACGGGGTTTGGAAACTAGATGATCTTCTGGGGTACAGTACAACGCTTCCGCACTCTACCCTAGACCAGGGTACACACGATCGGCAGAGGAGGAAAGCATTCGATGGGGCATCATCTGACTAACCATCAACTGGGCAAGAACGCCCCAGGATACATCAGAAAATACCAACATGGTAACATATGGAGGGGAAACCCGGCGTCCGGGCAAAACCCCTCAAGGAAAAACCCTTCCACCACAAAAAACCGTCGCTATCACAGCGGCTTACAACGGCCGCACTTACCAAAAAATCCAAGGCAAGTGCTAAAAACTGCTACATCTACTCCGGCAAATTCATCAGCTTGCGCCGGTGGTACTGCAGACTGACCCTGCTAAGGGCCTTGGTAAGGAGGTCCGCGTGTTGCTCCGTTGTCGGAACAAACTTGACCGAAATATCCCCCGACCTAAACAATCCTCGGATGAAATGAT